GGTGAGGGAAAGTGATCTCAGTGTCCAGCTGCTTCTCTTATCCCAGCACTAACCTGGACAGTATAGACCATGTTTACATGACCTTTTATATGAATTCATGTTTACCAGTCCTGCATGGTATTGCTCAGGCTCTCAGAGCACAAGCTTTTACACTCAGAGGCTGAAGCCCTGGTTTCTTCCCTTAGGGCCTGATGGCTATAGAGGAGACCTTGTCACAGTCATGGTTCTCGGGGGATTGTTTGGTGTCCTTGGTATCACTGGTGTCGCTCTGCTGTATTACTGCTGGCCCCACAGGTCATCAGGTTGGTATCACTGTTGGTTGTGTTTGCTCTTTCTTGCCATGACCTTTTCTGTTACTGATATAGATTGGATTTGCAGAGAAAAAGTAAAGGGAAAAAGAAGAAAGATAAAAAGAAAAAGGAGAAGAAAGAAAAGAAAACCTTCCAACATTTGAAACTTTCTTCCTATGCTTCACAATTCTGGAAGGTTCTGTGCAGTGGGTGAGGTTGCCATACTATGAATTTTATATGTCATTTGCCCCTGTGTGTAGCTACTTAAGAGTCAAACACTGATACATTCTTCTATGGTTGACTTTTTAACAAAAAAGTCTAACCATTAAATATCATTAAATAATTTTCAACAGACATAATTAATTTATATGTAATGGAGTAAAATATGATAAGGAACTAGATTTAAAGGGATTAAAAATCATTTAGGGGCCAGCCCCATGACCTGGTAGTTGAGGGAACCTGGCCAACCACAGTTCAAATGCTGATCCCAGTGGCTTGAAAAACACTCTGAGCATGCGTGTGTGTGTGTGTGTGTGTGTGTGTGTGTGTGTGTGTATCCAAGACCCCAAAAAGATGGAGAAATGTAGGAGAAAGGATTGCATTGTGACCCTGCCCCACTGCAGGTGAGAAGGGATACTTTCTCTCTCTCTCTCTCTCTCTCTCTCTCTCTTTCTCTGTTTCTCTTGGGCAAGCACACACATCCTCTGGCAAATTAAAAAATAAAATTTTAGTATAATTTTTTCTCCTTTATATGTCCATTTCTTACCCTACTTACCCAAGGGCAGTGACTTGGATGCACTGTATGGACCCTACCCGTGTGAATCTCCACCTGCACGTCTGCTGGTTGGTGCTGGCTGTAGGCTGGGACCTCAGTTTAGATTGTCACCTGGAACACTACATGCAGCCTTCCAGTGTGTCTTGGGTTTCCCCATGGCATATGACCTCCAGCTAGTTAGGCTTTTCATATGTTGTCTCAGGCTCCGAAAGTAAGTGTGATAGTGAATCTGTAATACCTCTAGCCAACTGTTTCAAAATGTTTATGCAGTGTCACGTTCATGACAACCTCATTGTGTCATAGTGCCTCACAAACTCGCCCAGATATAAGGGGAGCGGCGGAGACTGCACCTCCAGAGAAGGGAACCGTCACAGAACTTGCAGCCATATTTTAAAAAATTTCACACACCCACATTGCCACAAATTCCAGTCCATGTCCTCCAACTCCACAAGACCATCAAAAACACAAGCATCCTGGCTGCCCTCTCTGGGATCAGCAAGTGCCCATGGAACAAGTGATTCTGGAAGCCAGGTTTACCTCCTTGTACCTCTCTCCTCCCCAAGTCTGGTCTCAGTGTTTCTTCCCTATGTTGTTACTTCTTCAGTGACTTTAAACAGACTTTTAGGAATATTTTGCTCTGTTTTTCTACTTGTCTTAAGTAGAAGGATTGGTTCAAACTTCTTGTCAATGCATTTTAAGCAGGACTGTAACTCTTTTTATTTTC